TGGAGTTTATATATTCTAGTTATGAAAAGAAAGTAAACCTTTATGGGGGCAAAAGGTTTATTTTTTTTAATATTTGTGACACAAAATTGATCTTTAATTTGGCAAAGAAATGAATGGTATCAAAGTTGAATCCGGTGGGTCGATTTTTTGAAATGCAACTAATAAACGGGCTTTCATGGAAGATAAAACTTTGTATTGCAAAAAAGACAAATTTTGAATAATTTATGATGAAAATTGATCCGCAATATTGCCTTGACATAAAAATAATTCGACCCCTTCTATTTTTTGGGCCCCAATCTATTTGAGAGTTTAGTGAATGGTACGAAAATTTGATTTTTTCTATTTTCTTAAGTACGTAAATATGAAACCGGAATTGGGCCATAGACGGCTCTAACACTACATGCAGTAGACATTGATATCCGAAGTGTGGTTTCTTTTATAGGTTGAACATTTTGGAATAATAGGCACTTGTAATGCCGACATAAATCGCAACACAAAAATTGTATTTCTAACAACGAAAATGTTGAGCTTTATGCCAAATAAAAAGTGTTTGACGGCAACATGTCTTCTTTGCCCGTACGATGGCAAAGAAAGACTTTCTAGCATCATGCCCTAAGCGGGAATGAGAAGTGGATCTATTTTCACAATCGAAGGCGTAAAAATGCATGAGTAGATCCGTACATACCAACTACAATGGCTGCGAGACTGAATCGTTTTGACAGGAGGGCGATATTCTGTGTTTGGTGGGACCAGACCTTGGTCTGGTATTAGCCTTAAAGTCGATGAAACGATTACCAACAAGCTTTGTTAACAAAAATTGATTGATTTAAACAGTTCGCTGTTCGGAAAACGACCAGAACATCAACAAGTACAAAAAATACATCTGGTTATGGTTGAATGTTTTGTACCCACCAACTTTTTCGTAAAAATAAAGGCAATTTTTCTCCATTTTTGCACAAGTAGTGTACTATGGCCCATATAAAATACATTGACATATTTATCGTTATATCTGTTGTGGAATATGAAAAAAAGACTACATTTTCTGGCTTTTGAAAACAGAACTATTTCCAGTTTAAGTTTTTCTGCGGGCGCGTCTTTTGACTGATTTCGCCAACCAGGCCATAAAAGCTTTCAATGTTTTTGCCAAATTTGAACCCGGTATCTTAATTTTTGCGAATAGGCGAATATTTGCCACAAAAGCCGACAGACATAGGCAAACGGAAACAGCAGACATGCCTGATTTTTCATATTAATCAAGCATATATACTCTATTCACTATTTCCAATACTTCCTTACGGGTGTTGGAAACGTTGTGAGAAAATGAACATCCGAATGATGGGGGCTTCGGTGTTAGGTATCAAAGAGGCAGGACATCCTCACATGCATCCATTCATAAATTTAGCTGGGTAACGTAATCTTGGAAGCACTCGTCTGGGAAATGCTAGTTTATGCGGCTTACTCACCAAACTCGAATCCTTTCCAATCACCACTTGCTTGCATCCATGGGACAAGCACTTGCTGAGCAGCGCTTCATTTTATAAGAAAATGCACGATAATGTGCGCAACAGATTTTTTGTCGTGGCATCCACAAAATGTGCAGCCTGAGATGGGCAATACTTTGGAGAAAATAGTTTTTTATCATTTTCGCGCGAAAAATGCGTTTTTTTTTATACGAAATTTCCGATTTCATATGTAGAAAGCTGGTATGACGACAAGAGGTTTCTTTATTAAGACGTTTCTAATTTTGCTAACTATGGAGCACTTCAGTTCATCATTTGAACCGCTATCCATATAAACGCCCAATGTGTGGAATTTTTCGTAATTTATTACGAAAACAATGGAGGACTAAATTAAATGACATAGTGTAGAATGTTTAATGGTCGGTCAGCTTTGCCCAACCATCATATTGGATCTTGTTTTTCGTTAACTTAATGAAACTAAAATTATTTTTCCTTAAGTTAGTAATAGCGTAGCATTTTGGTCGGTTTGGCTTCTTCCCAATGCAATAATGTTGATTATCTTCTTTGACACGTCATGCAATAAAGTCGTTTGCTTATTATAGCTTTTAATGAAATTGTTAACTGATCTAAATAATGTGTGTGCACATAACAAAATTGAAGAGAGAAAGTCTTATATAAAAGCTAGGTCTACACGGGTTCTTTACATGCAAAGAATTCATGCATGGGATTGCCTACACTATATACATTTAAAAGTTTGTACTTGCAATTACTTCAATGTTGTTAAACATTTTATATCCAATGCCAAGGGATAACGATATATTCATTGTGTCGGAACGCTTGCATTACCCAGGAGGACGGCTCAGACATCCTATAAATTACATATATTCTTGATCAGTATCAAATTCTGAGTCGATATAAGCATATCAAACTCCCCGATTGCCCATAAGGATAATGCTTGCCTTAAACACTCTCCCAGTCTACCGGTGAAAATAGCGATAGCGTCTTCAAATTTAACAAAAACATTGGAAATAATTTCAGGCATGTCCATCTTTTGAAAATGAGCTAAATTGGTTAAAGCAAGGAAGCTGAAAGCACTCTTGCTTCCAAAAGCCAAAAAAAATTTGGGTTTTTTGCTTACTATTCAGAACCTGCGAGTGTTACGACGATCAAACTTTTTTGTTTTGTGCATGAATCTAGTGTAGCCGGGCAAGAATAGATAAAATTGGCCATGTCCACGCAATATTTTGCATATTTTCGTCAATGGCATCTCGTTACCATGTAAACAATTTTTTGCTCATGTGGCCAATCGTTGAGTAGATGTCCTCTGGTGCATCATGGCGACAGTGAAGAAGTGAGAAAAATGAAAGAGATAGAGAGGTGGTGGGCGCAGTCGATAAGTGTTGTGTCTTTACCGGCTAAACGTTCATTATCGCTGCAACCAAAGAAAGAACTCTACACACACCCTTAAACTTAAGGTGTATACATAGGTGTAAATAGTTTGATAGTCGCGATTCTTAACTACTCGGCTACTTATGCGGATAAAGTAAATGCTTACGTTTTATGGCAAATCTTGGGCATTGAGACTGAGATTTGAAACCACGTGGTCCAGATTTCTTCACTTATTTTTTACATAAAATGTCAAAAAATCGATTTTGTTGCCCTAAAAAGCAGAGGTCTAAAAATAGATCTACGCAAATAGCTATTCTGGACTAGATGTCATTATAAAATTTTTGCAAATTCGATGAAACGTCATATAAAGGTTTACTTTTTTGCAAGAATTTTTATTTGCCAAGAATATTTAAAGGATAGTTCCATCCGATTTAAAATTTCCGCATATATTTTGCAAGCGGAAATACTATATTTTGCTGATTTTTGTCAAGCAATATTCTGGACATTGCATATTTTGTTTGCATAAAGAATGTTTTGAAAATGGCGAGGGGGCTCGAATCGATCAATAGCAATAATAGCAACTGGACTTTTCTTAAGTTCTTGTCGGTGTGTTATACATCCACACGAATCTGATAGATCCTGTATCGCAACTAGTATAGAGCGTAAAAAAATATATATTTTTTTTTCAATATATTTTGTAAATCTCTTATATATATATATATATATTTATTGTCAAGACGAAATGTGCAATATTTATTATTTGTTCCTAGCTGTCTATGTATTTTTATATAAAAGCATATATAATAGAAGAGAAAAATTGTCTTTTGAACGTCTCTACTAAATATTAACCTAATAAGTATGAGCTTGAACGCTGCCATGTGAAAATGGTCACGTATACGTATGTATGCACATATATACATGCGTAATAATCTTGCTTTGTATTTTGCCAAGTCATGATGATCGCCATGCGCTTGATGTTTGCATTGTTTGAATCCAATCAATGGTGAATGTGTATTTCCATAAACCGTTACGTGTGGCTTTCGCGTCTCTCTTTGCCAGAGGTTAATGTAATAAAACATTCTTTTTTTTCTTTTTTTGTTTTTGTGAAAATTAATTTTTTAATGACGGGCAAATGACGATTTAACAAAAAACTGTAATTAAATCGTGCATTCACAAACGTCCTCTTAGAAGAAGAAAACGAAAAAAACGTTATCGACTCTTAAATATTTAAACAGTCTCTGGCAAATATTTAAACAGCATAACGGTGTGAAAAAAAAAAAAATAAAATATCATTTTATTGTCAGAATCTTCAAAATGATTACAGGCGGCTATACAGACCAGGCCATACGTAGGCCATTATTATTAGCTATGGTATAAAAGAAAAACGAAAGCTAAATAAGTTTTGCAATTTGTACTCAATATAAGGAATATATGAAGATTTTTATATGTTTGTTGCGTTAAGATGGGAGAGATTATAAAATTTGCATACTATTGATTAGTGACTCAGTGACAGAGTCGACTTAATGATGACTTGGTCATAAGTAGGCGATTGCTGAATCAATAAATAAAAATTATTGCTCCGTGTTCTTGACTCGCATTTCATTAAATC